GGAAGTCAGAGAACACCATGGACCATGGATTGTAGGCAAAGCAGTAGTTTAATCAGAAGGATGGATATGGGATGCTCAGGTATTCCCAGGAAGCATTGATGTATCTGGTCTGTTTTAATTCCTCTAATGATGTGTTATTGAATAATGATGAATTACTAAATAAATTCAAGTACTAAATACAAATGTCTATGTATGTAATGTACAGAGAGAGAGGGTGAGGAAGAGTGAAACAGACACACATCAACTCTGAAACTTGCTCAATGTGTTCTTATGTAATGGTTTTGTGAATTCAGGGGTATCTAGAGGAGGGAGACAACAGTGAAGTGATTTCAAGAGAACAAAATACTACAGAGAAGTTTAAGGTAAAGTCAAGCATAAAACATGAGACTCTATATGTATTAAGACGACAACACTGAAAAATTAAAACAAATGTAACAAACACCGTGTGACTATCTGCGCAGTGGTAGAATCCATTTTAAGAGACTTGGGAATTGTAGAATAATTGGAATAATTTGTATAAACTGGATTGGCTAATGGAAATTACTGAAAATATGAGTGGTGGTTGACTATATGTAATGAAGTTCTTATTCCAACTTGGACATAGAGTCCCATATCATTCATGAAAGTCTCCTCAGTGCTAGCATGGAAGATGACATCAGCATTTCTAAGAAGCTCCACAGTGACATATTCCCTCTGACAGTGTCATTGAGTTCTTGGACATTGCTGACAGGGTCAGAGGGATGCCTAGCTTTAGCTGACTATGGGATTATTACTGCCTCCACCCAGCCGCTGACTATGGATCAGTGGTACCACCTTGCAGCAAGAACATGACACTGCTGCTCTCCCAATGCTGTGCCTGTTCTTGACAAAGCTGAGAAGAAAAATAAAGTTAGCATTGATTTGTTCATTAAATCCTCACCATAACCATAAGCACATTTAGTATTTTATCTTTGAAATTTCTTCAACTGTCCTGCCAGAAAAATACTTACAATGGTGAAGGGGTATAGAAAGTGAGTTTATATAAGCCATATGTTTCGTCATTCTAGTTGATTGCAATGTTAAAGGTGTATTTCTTCCTGAAATATAGTATCTCCAAAAATCACACTAATGATATTTAAAGCATATATATGTCATGTATACGTACATATTAAAATTTGAGAAAGAGAACCATGTTGTCTTTATCTAGTAAATTTTTCTAGTAAATTTATCAGAATTTGTAGAATTAGCCTCCACCTTTTAGAAACTAAAATGTTGTAACATGAAACAAACTAGGTACTACCAAGAAATGGGCTGGGCTACATATTTCCCCATGAAGGTGTAAGTATGAGGATGTGGGAAGGTGGGGAGGGGGGAGAAATCCATTTCCCATTAGCAACGAGCTCCTGTGCTGTGCTAAGTTTTTCTGGCTGTTGTGGAAACAGGCCTGTATCACATATGCTGCTGATTGTCTTCAAATCTAGCACAGTTAGGGTCAATCTTTTGCTCAATTTTTTGACTAGTTCCTTACCTTATTAAACCTACACAGGAACTTATTACACAGCAGGGAAACTAAATATCTTCATATTAGAAGCCGGCTGTGACCCAAGACCACTAGAATACAGCTGCTTGAGCAAAGTGCATTTTCTTTTGTTCCCTACTGTGTCTTCAATGTCATCAGTGTGATGTTTGCTACACAGAGTAATTCAATTAAGATTTAAGCATATGAGAATTATGAAATAAACTGTTCTTGATCTGGATATGATGAATCTTGAGAATCTATTGCTCTCTTCCTCTGTGACCTCCCTGCATGAGGCAGACTGCACATGCATTACTTCATGTTTCCTGAGTTCTTACTGTAGTGTCAGTTATGACTTTACTGACTGTCTCAGGACTTTTTTATTGCTGTGATAAAACAACATCGCTAAAAGAAAACTCATGGAAGAAATGGCTTATTTCATCTTACTGTTTGTAATCCATCGCTGAGGGAAGTCAGGGCAGGAAATCATGGCAGAAACCCAGAGGCAGAAACCAAGGCAGAGGCCACAGAGGAGTGCTGCTTATTTATTGGCTTGCTCAACTTGCTTTATTCTACCACTCAGGACCACCAGTGAGTGGCTCTGCCATAGTGAGTTTTGCTGGCTGTCCTACATCAATCAGCAATTGGGAAAGTGTACCATTGTCCACAAGTCTATCCAGTGGGAGACTTCCTCTTCCAGAACAGCTCTAGGCTGTATCAAGTTGACACAAATTAACCAGCACACGCTGATCTTGCCCATTTTCTTTTCACCTAAATTAGAGTTACTAATATCTGGAATCTTGGTCTTATTTTCTGCGTGGGATCTCAAGGTACTGGAAAGTCTCTAGGACTCATTTCATAGCCCCTATCAGATGGCTTCTTCCAATTCTTCTGTGGGCTGAGGTTTCCTGATGGTTAGTTGTATGCAATCACAAACATAGTTTATGAGTCTCAGGGAACAGACAGGGTGATAGTGTATCCCTTATACAAATCTGCCACTTTTCCTGCCTGTGAGTTCACAAACCACAGATAATTTTATAGTTAAGCCTTGTTAGGAAACAATTTTTACTTTAAAGTCAAGTTATTCCCTTCTCTTCTCTTCTCTTCTCTTCTCTTCTCTTCTCTACCCTTCTCTTCTCTTCTCTTCTCTTCTCTTCTCTACCCTTTTCTTCTCTTCTCTACCCTTCTCTTCTCTTCCCTTCTCTTCTCTTCTCTCTCTCTCTCTCTCTCTCTCTCTCTCTCTCTCTCTCTCTCTCTCCCTCTCCCTCTCTCTGTTATTTGAATTGTGATTTGGCATTCTTGTGGCATGGTGAGCACTACTCAAATTGTCTCACACATTGGCATTACAAATAGCCTGTCTGTATCTGCACATCTCAAACTTGCTGTACAATGCATCCCACTGTATCTTGTTTCCAAATTATTGTGTTTGAACCAGTTGGCCAGGCTGTGCATTTCAGAAAAGATCCAACCTGTACGCGATGTTATGACCATTTTTGTATCTTTCTGTCCTTAAAGTCTACGGAACTTGGTATCAACAAAAGATGAAGGGGAAACATTTGGAATTTGGGAAGAGTGACACTTCTCAAGAGCATTAAAAAATTTAAAATCTTTTAAATTTTATGGACTCACATGGCATTGTACATTGTTATTCTTGTGTTAAGAGGCACATAGTGGAGTCATTTGAGTCAGTTTTGGTGTACAATTCCCAAAAGTGTGCAATAATTGCTATTCATTTACATGGCTTTTCATCACCTTCCAAAGAAATTCTGTGCCCATCAAATGGTCAGTTCCCATCCCTCTCCCAAACTCCTAGAAATATTGTTCTACTTTCTGTCTTTTCTGACTTGCTGCTGCAGGGGCCTCATGTGAAGTGGACTCATTTAATGTCTGTCTTGTTGCACATGGATTATTTTACTTGGTACTAACTTTATGGTTAAGTCAAGTAGTTGCCAAAGTGTTCAATAGAACTCTGAGGATGAATCTCAATTTGTGTTTGTAACAGTAGATAGTTTATGTAAATGGACTCAAATGGCATCATAAGTCTAAAAGCAATTAATTTTATAAACCTATTTGAGATATTATCCATTTACTGAAGAAAATATTAATATTAAAACAAGAATAATTTTATCTACATTAATATAAGATAGCAATTAAGTAAATTAGTAATTTAACCTAAAAATCAACTGTGATCAACATTACAGCTTCATTGATTCATTTACTGTGAATAAAGGATTTTTGTCTTCCAAGAATTAAGTACATCACTATAGACGAGTTAGAGTCCAGTGCAGAGCTTGATACAATGTTTGGAAGGTTTCTACTGTTAACAGTATGAGTGCAGCTGCTATGAGGATGGCTTCACTGGCATTCTTTTACGTCCTCGCTTTCCATCCTTTGGCAAGAGATTCTAAGATATATTTTTGGTTTCTTCGATTTTTTAAGGCATATCTTGGACTTTAGATTATCATGTTGATTTAATATCATATCCACCATTTTTGGTTTGTAAAATGTCACTTTGGACTCACAAGGAAAGTGATGGTTTGGGCGTGAGATGAAGTAGCATGGTCAGTTGCGTGTGTTTCTGTGGAAAGCCTGGGACAGACCTTCTTTCCCCAGTGGTGTCTTATTGAATCCACAATTTATATCCTTTGAAACCTTAGGATACAGTGTTTGAAAGGGGATGTTGAACACACTGAGAAGTACCGAGGAGTGAGTTAATTTAGAAAGAATTCTTTTCCTTGGTTTGAAGTAAAACAAAAAAGCATGGTGATTGCAGCTTGGCTGTTGTAGCCTTTTGGTGAGCTATGATGATCTGTGATGGCAATATTGCCATATTAGAGACAAAGGAGTATCCACCTCAGCATGTCATTTCATAATTAATTGAGAAATAGTGCCACATAATCGAGATAATTCTTTTGTTTTTGTTTTTGTCTAATTTTCATTTATCCTAAGTGCTAAGTAAATATTTGATCTAAAGATACCATGCATTTATAAAACCAGTAACTTTTTATTTTCAAATTTCTTGCATGAGACACCTTTTTTTTTTAAACCAAAACTCAGCTCCATTGCCCCCTGGCATTCACAATTTCTTCGGTTCTTAACTTCTTCGAAACTCTCTGTTGTGCCCTTCAGGTATTATTGGAGAAACTGTGTTTACGACCCTGTGGCAGCCTTTCTTACTTCCTTACTCTTAGCAACCTGTCTGCCAGCTTTTGCCTTCATTTGACTCCCCATTTTCTGTTTCTTTGTTGGAGATCAAGGAACACCTGTTCTAATATTAACCGTTGCCTTCTGACAGAGTCTGGGTACTAGTCAATGCACTTTACACACATGCTACAGGGTAGTCAGATCTCCACAGACATGGAGTCATAGCCAGTAGTTTCCTAGCCCAACCCTGCCAAACTGTTCCTCTCTGGAGGCAGTATCTGTTCTACATGCTAGATAGTACTGGATAGTGGAGCAGAGGTCAGGAGAATCCGCAGAGCTAGACATGACAAACACAATGGCGTTGGTAAACAAGTCCTTTACTTTCCACAGGGCTGAGTACAGAATGATAACTGACCAGGAAGTTATCACAAACTCTCAAATTAGCAGAGTGATTGCTCTGTGGGCATCCCGAGCCCAGGAAGAGCCAGGAGAGCTCTGAGCTCCCATGGGACATCTCAGCACTTAAAGGTAACAGGGAAGCTGGGAACGAGGAGAGCATGTTGGGGAAGTTTCTCAGACTTGATTTTGATGATGTTTCTTTTCCCAACTTCACTGTTCAGGTCAGCAGCAGCCCCCAGAATTGTGGCCACAATCTGAGCCCCTTGACTTCTGGTCACTGCCACGGTCACAGGATCTGGAGGAGCTCCTGTGCCTGCATCTGTGGGACCTGCGCCTGTGGTGGCTCAGGAAGCAGCTTCCCTCAGAGCTGGGAACACTGCAGCCCCCAGAGCTTGTAGCACAGCAGGAAGAGGCTGCAGGCAGACACTGTGCTGTGCTCTTTGGGGGGCACTTGGGGGAGGGGCACTTGGGAGGAGGCTGGCATTGCTTCTGGTTCTGCTGGCAGGACATCTTGGCAGGAGTCAGTCAGCCTGGGTAAGCAAAGAAAGTATCTTTAGGCCCTTGCCTCCTTTTGGAATGCTTTTATAAAGACCTGTTCCTAAGATCCTCTGTTTCCTGACCTATGATCTATACAAAGGCAAAGGGTAACTGGTCTCCATGACCTGCAAGACATTGTCTTCCTCACTGCCCTGCTTTCAGGAAGGAATGCTGATACTTCTAACTCTCTGGTCAGCTGAAGCAAATATGGGTGATGGGGAAACGACTCTCTGAGAGTTCTCTGGGCAGATGCAGACCTCTCAGAAGAGCAGAGGGAATGCTGAGAACCAGGTGCTGATGTGCCCACAGTGGCTCCTGTCTGCATTCTCCTCCTTGTCCCTTGTCCCCTGGCAGGTCCTCTCCCTGCTGCCTTCTCATTAGACACCTCCTCCTCCCCAGTCAAGTCCAGCTTGTCTTCTCTGCACACCAAGGTGAGGCCCTGTCCCTAGTCAGGTACTCACCAGATACAGCAAAGGCAGGAGATGAAGGCTGTGCTGAAGAGGTTGTGGGTGAATGGTCCAGGGCAGCAACCCTTTTATCCTTGGCAGGCTTGTGATACACAGCCCAAGCATGCTACTGTTTTCACAACCAGGGGAGGTGACAGAGCCAATAGTCCCAGCATCTTCCTCATGTTTCCCAGATTGCTGGCAAGGAATTAAGAAATCTCTTTCATTGCTTCCCTTGTGTACCAGAGACCTGCCAGTTCTTTCACTCATCCAGCTCATGCTTTAACCCATCCATCTCTTATATTTTTTCTGGACAGTGTGAATATAGAGATACATAGAATATATTTCCTGTGCTTGATCGTTTCAAATTAACTGCAGAGACAGTGGAGCAAACACACACACACACACACACACACACACACACGGTAGTGTGAGAGTTTATTTTGTGATATGAATGTCTCCAAAAACATTCATGGATGATTTGATCAGATGTGATTAACTCCTGATTCTTAAGGGTGTTGAGTCATCAAACTGCTGGGTCCTGGGAATGGGATGCATTTGCTAATGGACAGAGAATGGGTCTCACCCACCCCCTCATGAAAGCCAGAACTAATGTTCAGGTAGGACATGCACGAGAAACAAAGTCATGAAGGCTATTAATATTATCCCAATGTAATGTGGTCAAGGAGTTTGTCCAGATTTATCTTCTAAGGAATATTTGATATTGTGTGTGAGAGGATAAAATGATCTTGAAGCATGGAATATTGAAGATGATTGATGAGTGGTAATGACTTTTCAATGTGCAGCCAGTGACTAGGTTGATGTGTGCATCACAATCAATGAAATTATTCTGGTAACTTCCAACATGTATGTGGTTGTTTTTAACAGAAAAAAATGTTTAGTACACTGTAATGGAGTAGGCAGTGTTTTGAGAATTTCTTTGGCAGATATGAAAAGCATGGACTCTTTCCTTGTGCATTCCGACCAATAAAGCAAAGTATGAATCCAGTGGGTGGGTTAATTTATAAAGCATGGACGAGGAGTGTGAAAGACCACGTCACTGGAAAGTTTGCCCAGCATGGAAAATGGCTTCTCCATAGCCACCTAGATGGAGTTCCTACCAGTTAGTCACCCCAGCTCATACATTAGCCTTTTCCAAGACTCACAGGTCTTGTGTAGTTAGGGCAAAATTGCAATCGCACAGAAATGCACCTGGAACTTCAGATGAGGGTCCAAGGACCCTCCCCATTTCCCTACTTTTCTACCACTATCCCTACCATCCTCTGAAGGAACAGCAACAATCAACAGGCAGCTGATGATTGTTTTTATGTATTTTTATCGGGAACAGGTGATCTGATGAAGATGGAGGCTGCTTTGCTCAGTGGCTCACATTGTATAGCAGATAGTAACAAGCACTGCCTGTCTGTATCAGGTGATCTTTAAGACATAAATATGAATCCTCTTTTTCTACTGGGTCTTATTATATACTATTATAGATGAATTTGTCTGTCGCTTCATCTACTATCCTATTTTGCTATTTGTTTTCCATATTGCCATTAGAATTATAGAAGAGTACTGTTTATATTTAAATTAAATGATATCTTTTAAATTGGGATCTATTCGTTGTACACAGGTTTGGTAGGGACATTTTCAAGTAAGTATATTATGTATTAGATATTTTAACTCATCCCTTCTTCCCTCCCTTTCTTATCCATCTTCTCTCCAGTTAGTCTGCTTTGCCAGCTACACAGTTTCGCTTATGTTTCACACCACATACACACACATTTTATGTATATATGTAAAATTAAGGATGTACCAAAGAGAGAAACCATGATTATTTATCTTTCTTGGACTTTATCTCACCTAGTGTAATATTTTTTCTTTTTCTAAATTTAATTTAGATACAATCTTATTTTACATATCAATCCCAGTTCCCTCTTCCTCTCATCCTCCCACGCCTCCCACCAACCCCCACCCTACCCCCATCCACTCCCCAGGGATGGTGAGGCCTTCCATGGGGGATCATCAAAATCTGTCACATCATTTGGGGGAGGGCCTAGGCTGTCCTCTGTGTATCTGATCTGAAAGAGTATCCCTCCATGGGGAATGGCATCGCAAACTCCATTTGTGCATGAGGGATAAACACTGGTTCCACTGTCAGAGGTCCCACAGACTGCCCAAGCCTCCTAACTGGCACCCACATTTAGAGAGCTTAGTTCGGTCCAATGCTGGTTCCCTAGCTTTACGACTGGGGTCTGTGTGCTCTCACTTGGTCAGGTCAGACTGGTCTTGACCCCTTTACTCATCACTCCTCCCTTTCTATAACGGAATTCCAGGAGTGCAGTGCTTAGCTGTGGGTATCTGCTTCTGCTTCCATCATCTACTGCATGAAAGCTCTAGGATGGCATATAAGGTAGTCATTAATCTCATTATTGGGTAAGGGCATTTAAGGTAGTCTCTCCACTATTGCTTAGATTCTTAGTTGGGGTCATCCTTGTGGATCTCTGGACAATTCTCTAGTGTCAGATTTCTCTTTAAACCTATAATGTCTCACTCTATTAAAGATTCTCTTTCCTTGCTTTCCTATATTCTTCCCCTACTCAGTGTTCCTAATCGTCATGTTCTCCTCCCCACTCCTCTTCTTTCCTTCTTTTTTTCCTACCTCCCTCCCCCTGTGTTCCCAATTTTCTCAGGAGCTCTTGTCCCTTTCCCCTTCTCCATGGGAACATGTATGTCTTTCTTAGGGTCCTCCTTGTTTCCTAGCTTCTCTGAAGTGTGGATTGTAGGCTGGTAATCCTTTGCTCTATGTCTAAAATCCATATATGAATGTTTGTCTTTTTGTACTGTATTACCTCACTCAGGAGGGTTTCTTCTATTCTGTCCATTTGCCTGTGAATTTCAAGATTTCATTGTTTTTTTCCACCGAGTAATACTCCATTGCGCAAATGTACCACATTTTCTCCATCCATTCGTGGGTTGAGGGGCATCTAGGTTACTTACAGGTTCTGGCTATTACAAATAATGATGCTATGAGCATAGTTGAACAGATGTCCTTGTTGTATGAATGTGCATCCTTTGGGTATATGCCTAAGAGCAGAATTACTGGATCTTGAGGTAGACTGAGAAACCACCATACTGATTTCCAAAGTGGCTGTACACGTCTGTACTCACACCAGCAATGAAGGAGTGTTCCCCTTCTCCACATCCTCTCCAGCATAAACTGTCCTTTAGCCATTCTGACAGGAGCAAGATGGTATCTCAGAGTTGTTTTGATTTGTATTTCCCTGATGGCTAGACATGTTGAGCTCTTTCTTAATTGTCTTTCAGCCATTTTAGACTCCTCTACTGAGAAATCTCTATTTAGTTCAGTCCCCCACTTTTTAATTGGATTATTTGGTGTTTTAATGACTACCTTCTTGAGTTCTTTGGTATATTTTGGAAATCAGCCCTCTGTCAGATTGGGGCTAGTGAATATCTTCCCATTCTGTGGGCTGCCGTTTTGTCTTGTTGATTGTGTCCTTTGCCTTATAGAAGCCTCTCAGTTTCAGGAGGTCCCATTTATTAATAGTCTATCTCAGTGTCTGTGCTACTGGTGTTACGTTCAGGAAGTGATCTCCTGTACCAATTTGTTCAAGGGTACCACCTACTTTCTCTTCTAAGAGGTTCAGTGTGGTTGGGTTTATGTTGAGATCTTTGATCCATTTGGACTTAAGTTTTGTGATGGCAGTAGATTGAAACATTTTCATGTCGAATTTCTGCTTGTTCACTACATATTTTAGTTTCTGGGTTTTTGAAACAAAACCCCTTATATGATGTAGTTTATTCAATTTAAAATATGGGGACTCTATACTTCCTTTTGAAATTGCCACAGATCAATGAGTTGCAATTAGTCTTAATGAAAGAGGAATGAATGAAAGAAGGTGGAAGGATTGAATAGCCCTCCTTTCTGATTTTTTTTCTGTCTACTGGGATCTCTTGTCCCAAGGATATTTTCAAATCTTAGATCATTACACATGCTAAAGTGTCCTTTTTGCCCTAATAGTTTAGCATTTTATCAAATGTTACTGTGCTAGATGAGATTATTTATCACCCATTTTTTGTTGAGAGATGTCTCCCTGGTCTCGAACATTTGAATATTTGGTTCCCAGTTGGCAGTAAAGTTCGGGGGATATTTAGGTGGTGCAGGTTTGTGTCCTGCTTCTAATTTGCTCTCTCTTCTTTGTTCTCTCATTAGAAAAATATGAGTTCTAAACTTTCTTTAGCTGCCATCATGGCTGCTGCTTGGTCCTGCTGTGCACGTTATGCTGTTGTGAATATTTATTCCTCTAGAATAGCAAGCCACAATAAACTTCTCTGTAGTGTTTTATTACTACAACAGAAAAACAACTGACACATTTATTAAAGGTACTTTCTCATATCACACTCATTAGTAAAGCTGAAGAGGGGCACAATCTATTTTAAAAAACAAATCATTTTACCATGTAATGCTCATTATGGAGGCCAGGAGAATATGAGGTAAGTGGGAAGCTAGTCTAATGAAGCTGTGTTTCTTTAGATGGTCCACAATTCTAGACCTTCTAAAAGGTTTATATTGTCCCCTAGCCTGTGATTCCAGTTGGAGGTATCACCTCTCTCTTGGCTAGAAATCTCCAATACTTTCCCTGCATTCCCTCCCCTTCCTAACTACTATCCCTAGTACCTTCCCTTGGTGAAATTCCTTATGCTTCAAATAATCATTCGATGTTTTTCTTCTATTAATGCACTTATATTGAACACCATTACTATTCTTCTCCCAAATAGCACCAGGAACAGGTAGTAGACTAAAGTCTTGTTGATTGACTTGTTGTCATGATGGAGAGAATAGATTCTCTGGCGACATCAAGAACAGGTTGTCAGAGGGCTAGAGAAATGGCTCAGTAGTTCAGAGCAATTAGTATTCTTGCAGAGGACCTAGGGTTGTTTCCCAGTGCCCACAAGCTGGCATGCTGGCTTACAAACATCTTAACTTCAGTCCTAGGGTGGCTAATGCTCTCTTCTTATCTCCATGGGCACCAGGCATTTAGTGGTGCACATGCATACATGCAGG